TTCATTTATTACAATAATTTTCTAATGTCCTTTTCAGGTTATGGCGACTCCGCTGCGACTTTTATTTTTGCCACCGGAAGTTATGATGACGAATCGTGTGATACGCCATTTTGGAGAAGAGTATGCATTACGTTGTGTATTTCGGGATGATAATGGTCAGCGACTTGTACCAAAAGAATTTTCACGAGGTCGCGCTTTACAAGGTTTAATTTAGTGGATTTTTTCTGCTATTAGTAGTAATTCTAATATACATCAACATTTTAAAAAAGTAAGTAAATAAAATATTCAACTGAAAATGATATTTATCTGTAAAAGTAATGGTGTATTTTTTGTGGCGATTGCAGTTAGAAAAGCATGTGATTTTTTTGTCTTGTACGGTTGAGCAATATTGAAAGAGTTACGTCCTGAATTAGCAGATAATTATTAGTCCTGTGGAATAAACATTTTCATCTATTTTGAGTCGAATTTTTTGCATTCAAACTGAAACTTCTGTTCTAGACTATGGATCTGTACAGTGCTAAAATACAATAGCGTTTCACACCATCAAGACTGTTAATTAATTCAGTATTAACTAATTTCAGATCAGTCCTTAATAATTCCGGACTTGATATACAAAATACTTGGAACAGGTCTACATATAGCATCACGGCATTATCAGTTCCTTGCATGGTCTAATTCACAGGTACATAAAAACATTATATCATTTTAAAATAAACTTCAGCTCATTATTTTGTTAATGTCTAGCTAGCAATATCAACGGCTAAAATAACGGTAATAAAAATTTATTCTTTTTTTTTTCAGTTTCATTCTTCGAGCCATGAATGAGGAAATAGTATAAGATAACTGAATTTTTTGTCAAATTTGAATAGAAAGGCAAAATAAGAAATATATTTTCTAGTTTTTCAATTTCACCTGCATATTCCGGAATTTTTTAATTGAAATTTTGAAAAACATTAAATATATCAAGATGCGTGATGGCGGTTGCTATATGTATTCGGACGCCGTAGTCAATGACGAAGTACACGGTCAAATGGTGTATAACGTTGAAGATATTAGGCGTTGGATGGGTGATTTTACAGCTTCAAAAAATGTCCCCAAATTAATGTCTCGTATGGGACAATGCTTTACACAAGCACAGGTAAGTAGTCTCACTCCAGATCTGTGAGCAATAATATCATTCCAATCATTCTTCCACTTTTTTATTTTCTCTTTTACTTTTTGCCTCTAACTTTTACTTTTACCTTCGAATTTTTCTCTTCCGCCTGAGTTTGTCAATCATAATTTTTTCCTCATAATTTATTTTGTGCTTTTCATTTTTATGTAATGCTGGATCATTCAGCACACTGTGAAAGGTATTGTTCAGAGGAAGAATTTTTATCAATTTATTCAGCCTAACATAAATTTCGATTCATTATATTTTGTTCATTTCTAATTAGGGATGTTAATAACTGAAAGACAGTGATAAAATATTGTCTGTCTAGTTTTGTTGCTCGATTTACCAAGTTGTCTTCTCAAAAACTCAAATTTGTAAGCCTTATTATCTATTCGAATCATGAATTTTTTCTTTATATCTTATCTTGCGGTACATTAGTCTTTGACGTTTATAATCCTTACATTAACCATATTAATGTGCATTTTAATAACTTCAAATTTTTATTTTTCTTTCTGTTGTTTTATCAACATTTTATCTTTCCTATTTAACTTGTAACTTTTTTCAGCCAACAATAAAGCTGAAAAGAAGTGACTGGAGGTTGGAAGATGATATCGTGGGTGGTATCGCGCATCCAGAAACTGGTGAAGTTTTTAATTTCTCGGATGGTGTCGGAAGAATTTCTAATAAGTACGCTGATCGAATTGCTAAAGCACTGAATTTGCGTTTAACACCATCTTGTTACCAAGTAAATAATCTTACTATATTATACTTAATATTGCTAAATAAATATAACTTTATGGAAATTAAGCATTCAATTATCATGCTAAATTTCATTTCAATTTTTTCATATAAACTGTCTTCTAACACTTTTATGTTTTAGGTGCGATTTAAAGGTTTCAAAGGTGTCCTGTGTATTGACCCATTATTGGATGAATTAGGCCAAGCAAATATTATCTTCCGAAGAAGTCAAAAAAAATTTGAAGAAGATGAGGAAAGTGAAGCTGAAGTAGAAGTGGTGAAATATTCAATGCCTTCACCAGTTTGCTTAAATCGACCACTGATCATGATTTTAGATCAAGTAACTGTCGTTTTTTTAAAAATTTTATTACTTTAAAATTAAAATACATTTAATCCACTGCTAATCACTTCGTCTACACCAGCTGACTATGATAATTTGAAGTATAAATTAAAAACTGAGCAAATTCTTCAAACACAACCTAAATGTTACGAACTTATAGGTTTCTGAGAAGCAAAGTCGACATTTACATAGAAGAGTTTGTAATCGGATACATTTGCTTTTAGAGTTGGAGCTTAATAAACTAGCCGGTTAGTTATCTTGTTTATTTTAAATCATTCGATGAATCTGCATTCCTGTATTGACGATAATTACAGAATATTGCCGGAGCGTGTTAGGGACACATATTTCAAAATTTTCATTCAACTTCGAAGAGATCATTCTGTTCAGATAAGCTTGGACTGGTGTAACGCAGATTCGGAAGATCTTTTTTACTTGTATAGCATATAGAAATGATCAGATTTTTTGAATGATCCGAATTGTTTTCGAATATAATTGTAAACCGAATTTTTTATTTAGCTATGATGTTTGACGAAAATGATGCTGCTGAAGAGCTCAGTTCACGTTTGTCACTTCCAATCGACTTCTATCAATTACACAGTAGTGGTATTACATTTACTAACGAACCGTTCTTTCGTTCACTACTGATTGCCGTACATAGATACAATATAAGTTGGTCTACACTTTTTTGATTTTATCCAAAATCTGAATTAATAGCCTTGATTCAATTTTGTTTTTCAAATAGTGTCTTTTGCAAAATTTTTCATCTTTTATTTGAAAGGAATCATCCGAATTTCCTATTAAAAAAAAAAAAATATTTGAAAATCTACAACCAAAATCCAATAATATCGTATTGTAGTGAAATAGAATTTATGCTATTCTTTTTCTGTTTACTATAAATTGTTATTGCTATAATGACTCATTTAAGTATTGTTTCTAAAATTATCTTCAGAATTACATCTGAGCAAATCCAAAATTTTTTTACCTGATTCAATGGGTCGAACAATGTACGGGGTGGTTGATGATACTGGATTACTCCAGTATGGGCAAGTTTTTATACAGTATTCGCCATCTATACGATATGCCTCGGGGA